TGCGGCACTGGTCAGTGAAGAAACGCATGCCGTTTATGAATTGTAATCAACCTGAAAGCCCCGGGTCCTGTCAGTACTTCAGTCTGCCTTTCAGCATGAGTCATGCTTCTAAGAGAAGATGCATATCCATTTGTATACAGGCAGTCCTCCATTTACAATGTTTTGAGTTACAATGTTTTGCACTTACAACATTTATAAATGGACACCCTGTTTCAACTTCCTGACCTCAGCTTCAACTTTACAATGCTTGATGTGACGCCACGGCGCCAGTAAACAAGTTCACTGCGTTGCCCATCTCCCTGGAGAACATCTGTCCAAACTTCCTCGGACACTTTCTTTAAGAAAGCAGACAAGACTCCAGAAAAACCTGCAGCCAGGACTCCTGAGAAGACTCTGGTCAAAGGCACTTCAAACAGTCCATCAAAGTCCTTCCAAATAAATATGATTGCTATTCACAATATAAATACATTAATGTAGCTATGTTACTCGTCTATAATTGAGTACAAAATTCTGGGTTATTTTGGGAGCAAATAGGGTATCAGGCCTTGGTTCAGGAACTAATCCCCCATTTATAACAGTTTCCGATGGGAAAATTGGTTCTGAGTTATGACGTTTTGACTTAAGACGCGGTTTTCAGGAACCAATGGTGTCATAAGTCCAAGGACTGCCTGCATGATGAAAGGCGGAAAGATTTAACAGGGGTCTACGTTGTGTCGCTCTAAGGACAAAGGCAGACAACATGAATGACTTGTGCCTCTTGAGGCAGGGGGCCACGGAGACTGCCCGCAGGTGGCAGCGGTGGTGGTGGCAGCCGCAGTGACGGCAGGGAGGGCTGCCTGAGTGGGGACAGCCCCACAGGTGGCTGCAGTGACATCGGTGGCACGAGTGGGGACTGCCTGCAGGTGCCTGTGGTGATGTGGGCAGCGAGGGTGGCCCGAGCAGGGACTGCCTGCAGGCGGTCACCATGACATCAGCGGCGAGGGTGTCCTGAGTGGGAACCACCCGCAGGCGTCCACGGTGCCATCGGCGGCGAGAGCGGCCTGCGTGGGGACAGCGGTGCCAGCAGTGACGGGGGGGGGCAGAAGGTGGTGAGTGATGACCACCTGCAGATGCCAACAGCAGTGTCAGCCGGCCCCACTACGCGTGGCTTGTAGCGCACAGTTTTCTTTGGGTAAACCTGCTCTTTTATCAGACCAGCTCAAATCCTTGGAGAAAGCTCAAATCTTCCTGGCAGGCTGTGGGGGGCACAAGGCAGGGCCTGACCCAGGGAGCACAGCAGTCCCCGCAGAGGCGCGGGCGCGGGCGCTTTGCCCTGCAGCGCGCGGAGGGAGCAGCCGGGGTTTGAAGAGGGCGCCTCTGCTCCGCCGCTCCTGACGTGGGGGCATCATGTGAACGGTTCCGCTCCCAGGGTTCAGTGTGTGCGGCTCGCCCCACCCCGCCGCCCGCTCCGGCTCTCCAGAAAAAATAAATAAAAAACCCGGGCGCGATGCGAGCGCGGGGAGGAAGCGCGGCCTGAGAGAGGGGGCGCCGGACGGACCCGCCCGCCCCGGCACCGCGGCGGCTGGAGGAGGGGACTCCAAAAAAAAAAAAAAGAAAAGAAAAGAAAATTACAAAAAAAAAAAAAAAAAAAAAAAAAAAAAAAGGCGGGGGGGGGGGGGCGCGGGTGGG